AAAAGCTGAATTGATCAGTTCCTGTGTTTGCAATCCTGCTACAAAAATTGCCCGGTATTGAATTGGTTAAATACCATCTAGAAAAGCTCTATTTGTGTGAAAAAAAGAAAAAAAAAATCATTTAGGTACAGTGTTGCATTACACAATTGTCAAAGTGTGACAGCCCTGAAAGATGAAAGTTGGCCTGGGCAGGAAGGGAGAAAAAGTGTTTAGTATTGAAACCGTTAATATAGAATCAGCATTAGTGTATTTATTGCACTGTTAAACATACCCAACATATTTTAGTGGGTTCATGGAGTCTTTGAACACCTTGGCTATTTTTTTTTAACAGGACTCACACTAGCAAGACGATTGACATTAGAATGCGCTTATTTCACTGAAAAAGCCCCCAAAGTAGTAGTGAGCGCATGCATACTTTTTCAAAACTTTCACTGGGCTGCTTTGTCAACAGCCAGCTTAAAAACAATCAACATTGGAATGTATTTGTTTTACTAAACCTCCCCAAATATTTTAATAAGTACATGCACAGTCTTTAAACACTAACCCTCACCCCACCCCCTTTTTTTTTTTTAAATGTAACTCAAAGTAAAAGTAACTAAATAAATAAAAGCATGAAGTCATTCACCAGCAGCATGCGGTGGTAGGATAGGAATGTTTTCTTGAATGAATTTCTAAGAGTCTGTGTGGTTTTCACTTAGGAAAGGCCATTCATTCCAAAAATTTCTGTTAAAAGCAAACAAAGATGTGAATGACGTTCATCAAGTCATTGAATGCACTGAGAATTTTCATAGGAATGGTTTGTATAAATTTTTGTACAAACATTTTTTTCAACCTGGTGGTGCACATCTGTGAATCACTGTAAATATAGAGATTTTTTCACAGTCAGCAGCATTCAACTCTTTATGGAAATCAGCAGTAGCACCAGAACACAGTTGTTTCTGCATGCAGTCTGTGATTTCCTTCAAACTACTCCAACACATGCTGACCAAAGGCCAATGGGAACTCTGATTATTTTTTTTTTTTTTTTTTATAGGGAGAGGCTGGTACCTATGATCATCCCCATAAATAGTCTTTCTAAGCCACCTGACCACAGCTCAAAGGCCAGGAATTGTATTATTGGTAATTGCTTGCCATGGACGCCAACAGCTGCTTTAAATCATTACTTTATTGAACTGAAAATGATTTGGGTTCAAACCTGAACCTCATTCGTTGTCAAGTTACAGATTTATTGCTTTAGAGCACAAGGGCTTCTACTGTACTGCTGGCAACTGCAATTTGAACCTCACATTTATAAATCAATAATTCCTTCTAATCTTTACATCTCTGGTATATATTATAATTTGATTACTTAAGCTAGTCAAAGAAAAAGATGTAGGATTGCTAGGTAACAGTATAGTAAGAGCATAAAAAACAATCACAAGCAGGGGAGGACTGAGCATTTGGAAACTCGGGCACTGCCCGAGGGCCCGGGGTCAGTAGGGGGCCCCATGAGATGCCCCTGGTACCTTTTTCATAGGCTTTTTTGAGTTTGGCCAAGGACACAGGGGCCCCATGATCCCCTATTGCCCGGGGGCCCCATGAGTTGTCAGTCCGCCCCTGATCACAAGCATTATTTGATTTCTTAATTCTTATAACTAAAGTATTTGCACTGTTTTTTGTCTAGCTTCTTAAATAGGAATGAACAATTACTTTATTGGATTGGGATAGTTTTTAATTCCTAAACAGATTGGAAACGCAATTAGAATTAAAAAATTTTATAAGAATATAAGACTGAATATAGAAATATAGGAACCCCTATCTAAATATTCTTTGTTTAATTTAGAGAAATATAAAACATATTTTAAAGTAGACCTAAACTACAATATACTGTACACTAAACCTACTCTAGAAATGCCTGCTGCTGTCAAGCCTAAACTGTTAAAAGGAGTACTGTTACCCTAGGTTCACACCTAAGCATTTTCTGCAGAGTTTTGTAGAAATGCACTACAATCCATTTAACATGATTTCCTATGGGACATGTTCACATCTGCGCGTTTTCACCCGGTGCATTTTTTGGAAAGGGTCAGGGACCTTTTTGAATGCAAAAAGTTGTGTTTTTGGTTCTATAGACTTCAATAGCATGTAGTGCATTTTTGCTGCGTTTTAACGCATTTTCACCATTTGACACCAGGCCTATGGCCAAATGGCATCTGCAAAAATGCATTACCTTTCCGGGAGGCCGCCATATGGCGTCCTCCCGCACATGCGCAGTTCGCGCGCTTGCAGAGCCGCGCAGCGATGTGATCTGTCACCGGCCGTGTACCTTTGACACAGCCGATGACAGATCTGAGTACCGGCCCCCGTTGCCGGTACAATGTGACCTGCTGTGACCAATCACAGCAGGTCACATGACAGTTGTATACAATGGATGGCTTCATTCATGCCATCCATTGTATACTAGTGTCTAGCTGTGAATGGTCACAGCTAATCACATGCACATGTCATGTGATTAGCTGTGGCCAAATCACAGCTAAGCACAAAAAAAAAACCCCTGAATGAATCGATGTCATTCAGGTAAATGCTTGCTTATAGCAAGTAATTCTTTGCTATAAGCAAATTGTGTAAAAAAAAAAAAAATACTGATCACTTCCCCAAAGTAGTACAATGTTACTATGGTAACATTGTACTACTTTGGACATAGCGAAATACGAAAAAAAAAATCTTAAAAAAAATAAAAAAATTTAATAAAAAATTTAAAATAAAAAAAAATTAAAAAAAAATATATTTTTTTTTTTTTTCACACTGTCAACAGTCAGTGTCCCTGATCACCGCCATGCCAGTTATATGATGACGCTGTACTGCACTGGTGACAGTAATAATAATTTTTTAGATCTATTACTCTGACCCTGTTCTGGCAGTAGATGACCACTACCTGAGAGAGGATATCTTATATGTGCATTTTTGACACACTTCTGGTGAGTGCGCACTCTTTATACCCATCATCCACTGTGTGATACACCATATTTCTGTTTTCACGCACTTCAATTGGATCTATTGGTTCCCCACGTGGGCGTTTGAATCATTTTGGGACATTCACTCATTTTAATTCACCCAGTGTAATTCACTACTTTGCACTCGATTTTATTGCTATTTTATGTCTATTTTATGTCCATTCAGCATGTTGTTATAATATGTCTAGTTATATTTACATCTAGCGCTGCACCTTTTCTTTATATAGATTTATTGGAAGGTTTGTCCTTGGTTGCCTTTTTGGTGTTCTAGCGGCTATTTTCCTTAGTCTCAGATAGTGCTCGCTTACTATTTCTCTACAGTATATTTTATAAATCTCTACATTTGATACAACATAAATGTCACACTTGTGATCCTGATGCTGGCAACAACTTGTCAGTGCTAAAATCTCTGTACATGGCAGAGAAATACCACTGTATCACTCCCTCCCTGGCTAGATGAGCATGGCGTCACTCTGTCACTGACAGGAACACAGTAGAAGTTTCTTTGGCGGCAAAGAAAGAATAACTCATTAATTTGGACAGGGAGGACACTGTGGGAAGAAGCAAGCATTTCTCTGTTCTGTATAGCGATCCTCTCACTGGCATGTTTTATCATAAGTGTCATAGTTCTAAGGAAGAGCAAGCATGTAATATTATAAAGACAAATTAAAAACTACTTTTAATGTAAAGCCTATAAAAATCACTCAAAATGTTTGCTCACTGAAAACACACAATATATTTTTTTTTGAAGGAATTTTGTACTTAGGAAAGACTCGACTGATGCCATTGCTAAGGTCCGGAAAAAATACTAGCTCACCGATTGTCTCTAGCTTTATAATGCTTTGAATTAGCAACATGGGATACGCATGTAGATTCAAAAGACACTGTGAATGTATGTTCAAGGTTAGTGCTTTCCAGGGGCGGACTGACAACTCATGGGGCCCCCGGGCAATAGGGGATCATGGGGCCCCTGTGTCCTTGCCCAAACTCAAAAAACAAATACAAAAATTAGCACTCACTCCCTCTAGTAAAAACCCAACAAGTCACTTAGCATTCCTTCCCCTGAAGTACATAAATAATAAGATAATAGTAAGCAAATTTAAATAAATAAACAAATAAATAAACAAAAATACAAAGTCCCATACACCTAGAGTCCAAATAAAGTCCAACTTAAAATCCAAATCCAAAGAATTCTTGCAAGTGATTTCCCAATAAATCTTTATCCCCGAATCAGATTGATGGTATACTCCAGAAAATCTTCATATACCTCAAAGAAAAACATCTCAACATAGTGTATTACCCCAAATATTAAAATAAAGTGCCACACCTGTCACATGCAAACAAACAAAAGTTCCACAGCAATCGTGAGATATCAGGACTCCAATAATTCAATTAGTTACTCCACTGCACACAATATAAAGAATGCATAATTACCCCAACATAAATAAAATCAGCAAAGGATCCATAATAAAGATGAGATTGCCTCCAAACATTGTTCTACCATCTTCTCCAAATACTTCCCATAGACCTCATAAACAGACCAGGGATCAGTATATGTATTAAATGACAAACATATTTTATTGTAGCAACTTACATTAAAATTTGATGAAAACAGCTTCCATATAGTGAGATAGTCCAAGATAACCCCACTCCTCAGCGGTAACTCTTTTTATATGGCCATACCACTCTGAAGGAGAGCCAGGCAAAGAATGGAAGTCTCCAGGGTTGGAACAGCCGCGTGTTCAAGGACCCAAAATGGCTGCCATGGCACTTCCGGAAAAAACGTCAATACGTCACCACGTCACGTGCCCGGACGCGTTTCGTCACATCCGGACTTTTTCAACAGTGTTCTTGCCCACACTCAAAAAAGTCTATGAAAAAGGTACCAGGGGCATCCCATGGGGCCCCCTACTGACCCCAGCCCTCGGTCAGTGCCCGAGTTTCTAAATGGTCAGTCTGCCCCTGGTCTGGTGGCTTCAATACTTTAGAAAGCACCAGGGGTGGACTGACCATTTGGAAACTCTGTTATAATGTAAAAGCTTTGATCTATGACTGTGCTCATTCTTAAGCTCTGTCCACACCAATGTGCTTTTAGCAGAAACGTGGAACATGTGAATATCTATGCTTTTGTGAGCTGCTGCATTTTTGGAAAGGGTCAGACACTTTTTTAAAAAAGCAAAAAGCAGCATGTTTGCTACAATAGAGTTCAATGGAGAAGCTGCTGAAATGCATGGTAGTGCTTTAACAAAAAAAGAGCTGAACAAAATGCAAAATGTGGTAACAACGCGTCACAAATGTGTGTAGAAAAACACAAAACAAATGTCAAAAAGTACTGGAGAAAGCATCAAACGGAAAATGCATATATGTGAGCCAAGCCTAAGTCCTCATGCACACTTGATGTTTGTACAGCGGCTGTTTTTACCTTTTGATGTTTTTTTCTACAGCTAGTAAACCCCCCAGCATGTTATCCTATGTACATATAGACTGTAAATAAAGTTTTTTGGCAGGGACATTTTTTGGCTGTAAAAAATCCCAGGACTAGTGGGTTTCTAGAAGATGGTAAAACGCCACAAACCAGCGTTTTTGGACATTTTTGGAATAAAAAAAATTTTTTTTTTGCTAAAAAAAATGCTAAAATACAAGGGAAAACACTACTAAACGTGGCAAAATGCCACTAAAGGCTAATGCAAAAACTCTAAAAAAGCTGAAAAACTGACTTTTTTTTAACATGACTTTACACAGCTAACATACCAGTGTTATCAAAACATCCAGTGTGCATGAGGACTTAAGCTTTCATTCAGCATAATCAGGACTGTTCCCTGTGACCACTATGTCAATTACTTTTTTTCTTGTCTTTTTTTGTTTCTTTTCTTCTTCATATACGCCATTGCTTTTATTTTCTTTTGATGCAGCACAAGCTCTGGTTACTCAATATTTGTATACTACTTGTAAGTTAGTCTGTATAAATATGTGAGTTTGTGCTAATATGCAGCTTGTCTTATGTAACACCACCTTCTGATTCCTTCCCTTAACCACCAAGGGCACCTGTAATAAATGTTTTCTATTTAAATGTTATTTTTGTTATATATTTAAACTGTTATATATTGTTATTTATGTTGGTTATGTGTTAGAGAAGACACTAGTAGCTTGTGATGAGGCAGAACTTGTTTACTTGTGTGGCTTAAGTTGCAAACATGCAACACATTTCAGCAGACTGTAACAGCAGACATCTTGGTTTTGAAGAGAGAGAGAAGAGAAAGAACCAACAAGTTTTCAGATATGCATAACTGGTAACCTTAGTTGGACAGCTGATTCCCTGATGACACCTTTGGAGGCCTTAGGGGAACATCTTCCACTCTCCTTATGTGGTTCCCACCAAACAGCATCATCCTTGCCATCTACTGGTCAAGTGATATTAACACACAATACTATATAGTACATGCTGTTGTATCCCCAACAATTTATTCAACTGTATTATATCAGCTTTTACTGTATGTATATAACCTTTTCTGAAAATGTAGACGTTTCACTACATGGCAGAGGTCTCTCAAAGCACACATGAGCACTAGAAGTAGCTCCCTTTCACACACAGCTGTCTCTCACTGAACATTCTACTGAGCCATCCAATAAGAAATTAACCTGAAAAGAATTAATTCAGTTTTGTGTATAATGCTGGCCATACACTAGTAGAATTCTGTACGAACATTTGCACAAACATTCTTAGAACACTCTTTCTTGCAATCATTGAGTAAACAAATTTAGAAAGTTCTCTTAGTTTCATCCAGATCTGCTATTTGAATGTAATCCCAGATAAATATCAGATTTCATTACAATATGCATAATTTTTTGGTAGGATTTTCCCAAATGAAAACGTGCTTTCACAGTTAGAATTTTGTTTGTTTCTCAGAAATTGTTTTGTCACTAAGGCTGAAAATGAATGGCAATTTGACCCCACCAACCATTAGAAAGTCAAATGAATGCTCCAAAAACAATCATTTACTTATGAAATTCGAACAAAATCTACTAGTGTGTAGCCAGCTTTAATGTCACCTTGATCTATTAATCCTTTTAAACGACAGGGTTTTTTTTCAACATTTCAGCTTGTGAGCAGGGCTCAGCGCTGGTTGCCTGCCGGGGACAGAACTCACACAGAGACCAGATGTTCCGGTAGAATATATTGATGGGAAGATATTGCAAGAGTATAAGAGAAGCTGCACACGCGGCTGCACAGGGCCGAAGCACTTACAAGGAACCATTCAGAAAATGTCCATGCACAGTTTTGACACCCGACAGCATTCGACAAAAGAGGTGTCTGGAAAGCAAACTGACAATGGGGCACCTGGATAAGGAAGGGATGTTCTCCAAGGCCCATCAACAGCCCCTATTCTGTACTTCTTTCACAGGAGCCTGTCCCTGCTCTAGGAAATCTGTCCCTAACTAGTGGGGTTTTGTCCCTTGCCTGACCACTCACAAAATGCATGCCAACGGAAGGGGGACTGTGATATTTATTAGCACTGCCCACACCCAAGATGGCCACAGAGGTCTGCCAGGGCAGCAGCATCCAATTGGACAGCTGATTCCCTGATGACACCTATGGAGGCCTTAGGGGAACATCTTCCACTCTCCTTATGTGGCTCCCACCAAACAGCATCATCCTTGCAAGGAGGACAAATAACACCTGCTTTCATTTCTCCTCTTTGATGGATGCTGTCCTCAGCATTGCAACCATTGACAACAAACAGTGGAACGGTTCAAGTGGTAAAAGAAGAACAACATATAGTTACACAACATAACTGGAATATCTAGCCAGCAGCCACCCTTGATTAGAACAGATGGGGTGGCGGTTTAACATCAGAATGGTCATCTACTAAGGAAGGTTCCATGGCCTCAGGCGTTTGGATGATGTCATGGGTAAGTAAACTACCTTCATTATGTTATTATGACCTTAGATTGTACGCCCCTTGAGAGGGTTAGGGACTGATGTGAATGTACAATAAATATGTAAAGCGCTGTGTAAATTGACAGCGCTATATAAGTACCTGTAATAAATAAATTATGAGGGCCCATGGGTTCATCAGAACATTTGGGTTCTCCGTACCTTCCAGTAGATTGTTGCTCAGGAGGGACTGCGGAACCCTCAGCTTCTGGGTATGTGGAGTCCTTTGTTGTTGTTTTTAGGGGACTGGTTGTTTTCAAGTCCACTGGGACTTCAAGGACAGGAGGAATATCAGATGGGCCAGGATCCTTCCAGCCAGCCGATGGCTACAAAGGGCAGATCTCTGCCCAGCATACAAGGCCTCAACAGGTTCCGATAAAGGCATTTCATGTTGGCTTTGGGACCCTCAGACATGAAGTCATACACAGGTAATGGAGAAAATGCCTGTTTTTTTCCCACTCAATATGGGGTGGTCCTCCAGCTTATTTCCCCTCTCGAACTTTGAATTTTTCACTAAAGCCTAGTACACACGATCAAAAATCGTACAAAAATACTGCTTTCAAAGCGATCATAGGATAATATGATCATTAATACACAACTGTTTGCAGGGAAAATGTTTCTCGAATGATACCATGTCAAATGGGTTTTGTATTATTCAGTACACTTTTCATCTGAAAATTCAATACAAATACATTATCTGTTCTGTCATGCAAGACTTACGAGACTAACATGCAAAAAAAAAAAATGGAGGATCACTCTTCAGATATTCTCATCATGTGTACGGGGCTTAACACTGGTCTAAATGTTGAATATGGTCTTCATTAAGAAGTAAATTAGCACAGTCTCAAAGTTATTAGTCTTTGGAAGGTGCTGGGGGTGTTACTCAGCCCAAAAGACATGCGATTGAACTTATACAGTCCCAGCGGGGTGATGAAAGCTGTTTTTTTTCCTGATCCTGCTCCCTTACTAAGATCTGTCAATACCCATTAGCCAAGTCCAAAGTTAAGAAGTAACAGGCCTGGCCTAACACCATAAGTGATTCCTCTACCCTGGGCAGTGGGTAGGCATCACATTGGGTACAGGCATTGAGCTTGCAATAGTCCACACAGAAGAACAAACTGCTGTCTTTTTTGCACAGCAATGGGAGAGGCCAACGTACTGTGACTCTACTTGATTAGCCTGCTTTATAGCATGTCGTTGATCAGGTCTTGACCTCTTGTCAAAGGGCAGGTTGTATGTGCTGATATCTCTCCCAGATAGGGGGTATGTTCACTGTATGTATCGGATGGTCTATGGCCTCGGTGCAACCATAATCATTAGGACCAGCCGCTAAAGCTGACAGGTGTTTTTCCAATAGCTGATGGAGGAGGTGCGGGAAGTTGGGGAAGTGATGGCTAGTTTGTCCATCAACTGTTAGTACTGTTCAATATCCAGCAAGGCCATGGCGGACTGCAGCAGAGCACAAATCACTTAGACTGCCAACTGAGATCCTTTGACACAAAGCTTTAGCACCAGGTAGAAGTCTGCAAGTTCCATATTGTTTGGTAATTGTATGAGGGCAGCTTACAAGTTGATAAGCTAGCAGCCTACCACGATGGACCTTGGATAAGGTGCAGGATGTCAACCATTCCCCTGGAACCCCCAACTTCCTGTGAACCCCTACAGGCAGAGTCCGGACTACTTCTTGAAGAGGGGCCAACAACAGATTTTGCTTTAGCGGAGTATATACAACACACATCCACTCAATCTGTCATTTCATGACCCTTCAATAGGCCTCAAAGGTTTGAATCACATTGAGCCAGACAGCCCCCAGACCACAGCCCCTTTTGGGCTGGCTCAACTGTTCGACTTCTGCCAATAAGCAGGGTAAGTCCTGGTTTTTCAAGACATTCAGGCCTAAAACTATAGGTAATGAGGAAACAACCGGGCTTTGGATGTTGACCTCCACTCGTTCCACCACCTGGTCCATTATTTGCACCTTCATCCAGGTAACCCCTTCCACCATGATTAGTAAGTTGCTAGTGGCTTTCAAGGATAACCATGATGAGTCCAACTGGTCCTCTATTCCAAATCGTTGAATGCAAAAGTCACATTGCATGATGGTCAATTGAGAACCAGTTTCAATTAGTCAAGGGAACAGCTGGCTGTTCAT